TAAGTGCCTGTAAATAGAAGACAATCTCTGCTATAATATGTAAGCAACTGGTCATCTGTTCACTTATTATGGTCTTATTTCCGCATATCTAGATTTTTTTTTCATCTCTAAAAGTAGGTAATTACTTTTTATACCATACTTGGAGCTGTTTTAGCATTGCACTTCCGGTAAAATATATCCTTATATTTCACACGTGAAATATAGGCTGGCTAAGCTGATATCTCACACGTGAAATATAAGAATTTACATAAATTACTCCGCGCACTAGATCTAGGCCTATATTCGCCTTCTACTTCTATCCCTCTGTGTAGGCTAAGCAAAGTAGGAATAGCCTAGATGATAGATTTAGATCTAGATCTAGTAAAAACTTTAAAAACTTCGCTGCAAAGCGCGCTCAGCATGGGCAACCAAACACCATAGTCTCCCAGTCTCGCTGTCCCTTATGGTCGAGTATAGGACGTTTGGAAATGTCTTTTTCCGTCCAGACATTTGTAGCAGCTCACCAGATAAACACAACAGGTGGACAGTAAATCTAAATAAATTAATTTAAAATTTGATAAATTTTAATTGATATCTATCATCAAAATGATAGAACTACTACACAATTAAATAAATAGCACCACTTAGATCTTGATCTAAACTCTAGGTCAAGGCCTACATCAGCTTGGACAAATGAAATTATCATGAAAGACTAACAACGTTTTGAAATTTTGTAATCACTTTATCAAACATTTTAAAAACACACTGTTTAGATCACTTGCATTGCCTTTCGAATTTTCGTTTACATTAATTCTATCACTACAAATACTAAATGATCAACCATATATATGAAAGAAGATTAAACTTTAAGATAATATGTAATTGATAAATATGATATTCGTTAATATACAAGTATAACACTCTTCGATAAATACTTCTTGTTTGAAATAACAAAAGTTACTTCCCTTGTTATTCTGATATTCTTACCTCCCCTTAAGAAATCCAAAATGTCGGAAATCGATAGACAAAAATTAGATGTCTAACGACATATTTAGAATTGCCACATCAGTATCCAAGTAACTTGACAACTTTTGTTGCTAAAAAGCTTTTTTTTATCTTTGACCAATTTAATGCAATGAACAATGCGTTGGGTCTAGTCTAGATCTAATCTAGAAATCTAGATCTAGATAGCCCCTGTACGGCATACCGTCACCTTAGTGTTTTGTGATGACTATTTCCGGAAGTGAACTTTTATATTACCATAACTTCGGCTCTTTCAAAAACATCGACCCAAAATTTCGTTTTGTTGAGAGGCCAGCCTTTCCTGTAGGTGTGGGGTGAAGTGTTAAGTCAGATAGTGTATAAAGAAGACCCCTAATAGAGACTTGACGCATGTCATGACATGTACCCCATACCAGCACCCCCAAATTGAAGCACAACTAGGCGTTTGAAAAGAGGAAAGAAGCAAAGACGAACTCCTTTTGTACAGTGGGCCTAAGACAGAACTAATGTTTATTGACATACTAAAAAGATCAACCACCAGTACAGACTCACATACATCTTACTCACACATAGGTACATGAATGTTTCATTTTACTCTTCCTCACATATCACAACAAACTCACTTGAACATCTTTTACTCACACACAAGTTCTTGAATGCTTCATTTTACTCTTCCACACATATCACAAACTCATATGAACATCTTCCTTACACACAGGTACATGAATGCTTCATTTTACTCTTCCCCACATATATCACAACAAACTAACTTGAACCAGATTCGTTTAAAATCGCTCTTGTAAAAACCTTTGCTAAAGAAGCATAACTTAGAGCAGAATGTCTTAAAGAACTATAGACCTGTTTCAAATCTACCTTTTTTGTCTAAAATCCTTGAAAAGGTTGTCCTCGAGCAGCTTCGTCATCACTTA